AAACAACCATCATGAATGTTGTTTTAAAACATCTAATGTGTATTCATAGCAAGAGGTGCTGTCTGGAGTGGCCTGTTTCATAGGAGACTAGAGTTAGTCCGGAGTAGACGGAAATCTATACGAATATGCATTAAATGTTACGAACACATTTAGAGATTAAAAAAGGTATACATGCTTGACGTGGTAATGATTTATCTGATTGATTAGTGATGTGATGTTCCAGCACACTTGCCTGATATGGAAGCAAAGATGACTACAAGGACTAAATCAAGCCAACTTGGCTGAATTAAAATCACACAGAAAATGAAAGCCCAGAACTAGTGTTTGTCATAATTTCTTTACATTTGTATATGAATGTGGTCACCATTCACTTTCATATGGAAAACAGCAGACTGATCATTTTCTAGATCATTTTGTTAGGGGGATCTTTATATCTTCTAGTTGTGGAGGTATTGATATTAGTCATCCAGGTGATGTGCAGCCAACAGGGGAGTAATTATAATGAGGTGACAGAGATGCATGCCCAAACTAGGGGACACTTGTCCCATCAGATTCTTGAGCTAACCTCAATAAAATATTTATTTGAAAATACATTTTCAGGATTATTGTGTGTAAAACATGTGCTTATCTAAAACACTGTAGCAGATAATTGCAAATTATGCATTTATATTACTAAATTGTCAGTCATTAGACTGAAAACATTCATCAGATATTTTGCGTTAAACTGAAATGGTGGGTATATGATGAGTTGTAAAACAATTGATAAATTGTATTTAATTACAAATGTCAAACATTTTACTTTATTGAAAGTCTTACTAGCCAATAAATACTAGGACAAAGTAAAACGTATCCACATTTAGATGTACTTTGTTAAAATTACACACTTTTTAGCTTTTTAAATTGGTGTTTGAAAACAAGTAACAGTAGATTTTCTCTATTTTTGATGCATGAACTTTGGAAAGAAACCTGTCAAACTTGAAATTCATTGATCTACCACAATGTTTATTATAAAAACGCATTACTAGTCCAAAGACTATCTAAAAGGAATAGTTCACCAAAAATAAAGAAAAAAGGTAATTTTGTTGTCATCTCACCTATGCCTTTTAAAGTCTGAATGACTTGGAATGATAACATAATTGTAATCTGTTCCTTACAGCCTCATATGGCTTTGGAAAACTTGGAATATGATGTTTTTTTGTTTCCCATCCACTGCCATGATGGTCGTAGGGAGAAGCGTGAGCATTCTTCAGAACTACTCCTTTTGTGAAATCATGCAGGTGAAAATGACAGTGGGAAAACTGACATATTGACTTTTTTTGGTGAACTTTTATATTCAGATTTAAGTCATGATGACATATGCACTTTTTACTTTTAAGGGTATATGAAATTGTAAAAGAGTAAAAAGTACTATTTGTCCTTATACATGTAATTGAGTAAAAGTACAAGTAATATGGTTTTAGCAGGTCATGTAAAGAACAGATTCCCCAAAATAACACTTATTTAGCATAGTGAAGTATTATTATTCAAATAATTTATACCATGATGACAAGACTATTTTTCACACAATTGAAATCCATGGTGATTATTAAATCACCATGGATTTCTTATCATTAGATTGTTCCATCTTACAATCACTAGGATAATTATGTTTACGAAAGCATTAGGTGCATGATGACCCTCAAAGGATACTGGGATTAGACAAATAAATTAAGCAAACTGCTACTGAAAGAAAAAATAAATTATCTGAGTGGACATTTATGTGATTAAAAGATGAGTTCAACTATTGGTTTTGAAGCTGAAGGGAAAAGCTATAATGGCATTGGGAGGCTGTCTGTGGCTAAGGACAGATACTGAGGTCCTGAGGCATAACTTGTGAATTTAAAAAAAAAACATGTTTCAAGTGATAACGCAAGAATCTACCAACAACAAACAACCACAGTTTATGCTGCAAAAATGCAAAGTGTGTGTTCAGACTTTGACACAGAAGTCCAAACTAATTCTATAACTGGCATGACAGCTAACTTGGCCACCACTTGCAAAAAGCATCAAAATCTAGCACTAGTTATATACACCTGACAGAATTGGCAATATATATGTTAATAATTCAAAATAAGATGATCATTAAAAAATGCATTTTTAAGCAGCACTGCCCTGAATAAACCATTTCACAAACAGATGTTTACATATAGTCCACAAGACAAAATAATAAAATAAAATAAATTTACTGTGTGTCAATACCTGGATGATCAACAACTGTTTTTCTGTTTTGTGACAGCTGTTCATAAATCCTTCGTTTGTCCTATATGCAGCTAAACTACACATTGTTCTTCAGAAAATCCATATTTTCACACAGAGGACAACTAAAGTATAAAAAAAAAGTAGAATATTCATACCAAAATTATTTGGTATTGCCCTTCAGAAGCTACAGAAGATATTTAAGTTTTTCTAAGAATGACAAAATTATTCTAATTTAGACTGATCATCTTGTTCAAAAAGTTTACACCCCCTGGCTCGTAATCTAGTAATCATTGCAGCTTTGGCAGAAGTGAGCACAGTGTCACACCCAACAAAACAATATTTATACATTTCTAAAAATAATTGTAATTCCTTAACATATTTTAAAGCTTTTCCCTCCATATGTTTACACATGGCCAGTTAATAAAATATGAATACATAATATTTTGTTGTTTCATGTTGAGATGCTTAATGGTTATAATACTAAAAGAGATTGAATGAACATACATTTTGAAATTGTGAGAAGAGTAAGCATAAAAAATGGCTTCTGCCAACTCCTTTTAGATCACTGTAGTCTTAAATGTAACTGATTTTTTTTTACATTTTACTTTATCTTTTGTAAATAAATGAGG